AGATTATTCTGCATCTCCCCCTTCTGACTTACTGAATTAGAATTCTTGGGTTCTGTTTCTGATAATGAATTAATAGCTCCAATAGGACCAACCTTGACCCAAGTAACAAACATTAATTCAGAGAAAAGAAAATCTTTAATATAATAAAGCATAGTCCAAAATAGGCAGAAAAAGCAAAAGTAGAAGAGCATTTGAAAGAAAATAAAGGTGAGAGTGTTCTCATTTATTACTACTTTTAATAAATTATTTTATTAAAATTATTTTATTAATAGTTCTTAGCTTATGGGAAGATTTAAATAGAGGACAAAATCTAGGTTGGCTAAAGCATTTGAAAATGGAAAGAAATCCTAGCAATAAGAGAAAGAGGATATTACAAGTTCTATGTAATATCCTTGCTCTTTTATAGCTAACACAACACTTTAACTGGGCAGAATCATACATGAGTTAACAATATAAAACCAGCAGTCATTTTCATGGCTGCCTATTCCAGGACAATAAAGAGCTTGGAGTTTGCTAATCCAAAAAATTAACACTGATCAGAGGACTATATTTCTCAATTCCAGACTCATCACAATAACCAGAATACAATAAAAATTTACCTGACATAGAAGGAAACATACTAAATTTACCTGACATAGAAGGAAACATACTAAAAATTGTTCATCACTGGACGAACCCCAAGATCATCCCTGTGTTAGAACTGGAACATAAATATTTTAAAGAAAAAAATGCCTATAAAGAATATGATAGTGCAGGAAAGCAATTTTCCATATCCTTGACAAAATAATGATTTCATGGGAGGGGACCTGGAGGTATACTTAAAATCGCCTTTGAAAGAGATATTTACATTGTAAACCTCTTCTTTCTTTCTTTCTTTCTTTCTTTCTTTCTTTCTTTCTTTCTTTCTTTCTTTCTCTTTCTTCTTCCTTTCTTCCTTTCTTTTTCTCTCTTTCTTTCTTTCTTTCTTTCTTTCTTTCTTTTCATTCTTTCTTTTTATGTAGGAGTACTGCTATTTATTCAGTCACTGATTAGCTGATTGAATTGGGCATGAACTCCACCTTACTTTTTTTTCATAATTTTACTTATTTATTTATTTATTTATTTATTTATTTTCTTCTTCTATTTATTTATTGAATCACTGTGGGAAAAGTTACAAAGCTTTCAGGTTTAAGTCTCGGTCATACAATAATCAAACACCTTTCCCTTCACCAGTACTCATTTTCACCACCAAGAACCTCAATATACCCCTCCTCCCACCCTTCCCAATGGCTGTGAGGCAGATTTCTACTTAACTTTTCTCTACATTGATTACATTCATTATTTTGACAAAAGATGCACCATTATTGTTTAGAATTTCCCCCCAAAAAATCAGAATTGCTGAAAAGGCATTGTGAAACACTTTGTTTTCTATAGCTGGTTATGAGAATCATATGATGATTTTGGATTTCTGCAAAGAGCCAGATAATTACGAGATTGGTTTCTGTGCGTCTGGTATTATGGCTGTGCCGAAGAGCCACTCGTGGGGGGCAACTCGTGGCAGTGAACCTCTTCTTTAAAAGCCTTACTTTACCTCTGAATCAGGATTTAAATCAGCATACTTTTGTTTTATTGCACCTTCTTTGCTAACTTTCTTAACAGATCTTTAGTTGCTTCTTTTCAATGTTTTCCATGGTCACGATCACGATCACGATCACGATCACGATCACGACCATCCTGTTGTTCGTCAATTGCCTCGAGCAGGCCCCAGTAACGTCTCCTTTGTCCTAGCCCTGAGATTTTTTAAAAAGTGTCATATTCAAGGCTCTTTCAGGGATAGGAGAATGAGACCCATCATTGTTACTGGTATTTGGCATATTGGGTATACCACAGGAGTTTGCCAGACTCTGCCGTGTGGGCAGATTACATTTGGTAGCCTGCCAGGTTGTCCAAAGTAAGAATGAGATAATAAGATGTCACGTGGTCTTCTGGGAGCTGGGTTTTGTAGTCTCTGGGTCTTGGCCGTTGATGGGATTACACGGTGCCAGGGGGCCAGTTGGTGGGTGTGACCCCTGCCTACTAGAATATGGAGGACCTGGGTGGAGGATGCTCAGCCCTGATCTGAGCAGGCTTGGAGATCTCAGCCCCAGGACCTGCATGCCTTTGTTCTTCTGCCGGTACCTTCATGTGTGTGAAGAGTGATCTCAGCATGGTGGTGGCTGGTTCTGGAGGTCTTCGGCTGATGGAGTCCTGGTCGGGGCGGGAAGGAAAACTCAGCCCGCTCCCCTCCAAGGGGCCTGGCGAGGACAGCCAGGTGTGGGGGCAGGAGACTGCACTGTTCTCTTCTGGGAGCTGGGGTTTTTCAATGTTTTCCACATCAGCTAAATTTACTTAAAGGTTGCTTCTGAAGACTTGTGGGTGAGTTCAAATAATTCTTTAGGTCTCTTCTATGAATATGAGAGGTATATAATGTAATATGAATTTCTCTCTACTTTTATTCATAAACTAGTCTGGGTTTTGTTTGACTTACTGTCTAGGCTCTGAATAGTATAATTTCTTCCACAGCCTGACAATAGTAAACTCAAATAGAGAAACAAATTATACTGGAGATTAAAGTGAAAATTATAGAACTAAAAAAATCCAGCATACATAAGAAAACAATTGGACTTAATAACTAATTAGAAACAGGGGAGATGATAAAAACTTCAGGGCAAATTAGTTGAAATGTTCAAAATAAAGGATTTAATTTTAAAAGAATCTGGAAATTTTGGAATAATATTTAAGGGTCTAATTTGCTAATATGTATCATTAACCCAAATAGAGAGAGAGAGAGAGAGAGAAAATACTGGAAAAAATAATGGTGAGAAATACTGAAAATTCATGAAAATCAAGCACAGAGGTTGATAGGGGGACCATGGCAAGGAGTTTCTTGGGAAGTATTCAAACAAAGATGTCCTCTAAAGGAGTTACTGTCACCAAGCCATAAAGTAGACAAAAGCATGAAGGATGGGCCTCTTTTGTGGCTGTGGGAACTAAGGCCTGATAAGACTCTAACAGGTCGAGCCAGGGAAGGCTGAATGCCCCGAGAAATTACAGCAGGAGGGAACAACTGTGATAAGAATATGAAAGATCATCAAAGGTTCAAAGCCCTATTACAACATCCCGATAATTCTATGTGTGAATGAGAATTCCAGGCTAAGGCAATTTGGAGAATATCCATATATAACAACTTACTAAAAGCTACTTGGGCTTTCTTTCTGCTAGAGAAGCCTGTATGAGTTACAGACTTTCTTGCTCTCTCCACCGAGTTTCTAAACAAAAATATTTTACTTACTATTAATCTCCTTGTGAGTTTCTTTTTCCCTGCAAGGGTAAATGATGAACCGGGGCAACCTCAGCTGCGGTTAAGATTGACTGACTTCTCTATCCTTTCCTCTAGTCTGAGGTCACAACTTCCTGAAAAAGCAGCTGGTGGTGAACAAGTGCCCTCGGGTGGAGCTTGATGGCCACTGAATAAGGCTGGTGTGAGGCAGTAGTGTCCAGGCCATGCAGGTGCTTATGTCAGACTAACCCCTCCATACATATCCGCAAAAGACCTTCCTCTCCCTCTCCAGAAATAGGTAAAGATCAAGTAAAAACATTAACTACAGAAATATTCTGCAAGGCATATTTTACCATTTCAAAACCCTCTATTATCCAACAGCAGACAAATAAATATTTCACAGTTGTTATACAATGTTTGTTGAATCAATTTAAATAAAAAATATTTGATGGTATCAGAATTTATACAATAAAAAGGCAAGAAATAAATTTCTGCATAAGCATAATTCTTCTATTACTCAATATAGAAAACCTTAGCGTGAAAGAGTGAAAGGGGGAAAAGACTCAAAGAATTGTCTGTGAATGGCAGGATTAGGAATGATTTTTGCTTTTTAATATTTTTCTGTATTTTTCAAAGTGTTGTAATTGTGAGGTAGGCAGTCATGTAGGGTACCCTTTAGAGGTAAATTTCAGGGTTCTATAAAACCAAGAAATGTGTGAAGAAAAAAAAATCATGACACCACGAAGTGTTTGAATAGATGAGCTATACTGTTAAAAGTAATATCTAGCTGCTATTTCAGCACAAAGATCAGACCTTGTCAAGGAGACCACCAGGGCTGAAAGTCTTTACATTTCCCTAGCCATGACCCTTAGTCCAAGCTGAGGCAGCTTGGGGAAAAAAATAAACCCTGTATCATGAGTTTTGTTTTTTTGAGTTTTGGAAAGCAAATTGAGCCTTCTGTTCTGGAGTTCCCCAGACTTTTCGGCACTCTATTCTGGGGTGGCTCACCTCCCAACAGGAACCCTTTTACTTTGGAGATGTTTCTGCCTTGTTTTAGCATGTTGAATTCTGTTCTCTTTGAGGCTCTGTCTTTCTCTGGAAAAACCCACATTCTCCTTAGAATTATTGCCCTTTCTCAATAAAGACCATTGAACTTCACTTCTACTACTCTGGAAATTCTTTCCTGCAATGAACTGAAACCTGGAACAGACTGCTTCTCTTGTGAAAAGGATGATCTGACTTCAGTCCATGCACCACAGATCCTGCCCTGAAAATGTATATGGCAGGAACCAGTTTTCCTGTGTGAAGGTCAAGTGGTTTTCATGTGTAGCTTGAAGGCAGCCTTGGTGAGCACACATTAGATACTGTGTGCAAGTTTGTGCAGACTTTACCAGTCCTACCAGCAAGAGTGTATTTGCAGGAGCTGGAGTGATAGAAAAGCGGGTAGGGCATTCGCCTTGCACATGGCCGACCTGGGTTCGATCCCCAGAGTCCCATATGGACCCCCAAGTACCTCCAGGAGCAATTCCTGAGTGCAGAAGCCAGGAGTAACTCCTGTGCATTGACCCAGAAAGCAAAAAAAAAAAAGTGTATTTGCATATAAGAAGAGTGTATTTACAATCAGAAAAAGGGATCCACTCATGGAGCTATAAACATAAAGCCAAACATGTATGCAATGTATATACCACACATATTCGTTTACCTTCGTCCAGAGTCACTCCCATTCATATTCAGATTGAGCTCCCGAGGCTTAGTAAACTCTTTTTCTGCGATCTGATCTCTTGACGTGCAAGCGGTCTGAGTTCTTAACCTGAAGAAAGAAATTTTTAAAAAACTGAAGACTGTGAAACTTAAGAAGTGGAACAGTAACCCTTGGAAGATCATGCTCTCCCAGTGAGGTTCCCAGTTATGCCACAAACATAAGGGAAATGAACACAAATCAACTTTACAGGAATTTAAATCATTAATAGAGGAGTGGGGGAAGATTGAGTTGATTAGAATATCTTTTTTTTTTTTTGCTCTTTGGGTCACACCCATCGATGCACAGGGGTTACTCCTGGTTCATGCACTCGGGAATTACTCCTGGCCGTTCTTAGGGGAACCATATGGGATGCTGGGAATTGAACCCGGGTCGGGCCATGTGCAAGGCAAATGCCCTACCCGCTGTGCTATCACTCTAGCCCCTAGAATATCATTTCTAATCTCAACCCTATAAATAATTTAGAGGGTTTTCACGTCTCTAGAAATTTAAAGCTTCTCCTTATTGCCTATGAAGTTAAGTGCTTAAGTGCGTGCATACATGGGCTGAACTTTCCCTTTGGTGCTGGAGGACCAGGGGCCCCTTAAAGGCTCTGAAGAGGCAGGATAGGTTTTGACCTCTGGAGCTATCTCCTCAGCCTTCATCAAGAGTGTTCTGATGACTAGAGTCCAAATGGGCATTCTAGTAACAAGGACCACTACACCTCCCAACATATCCATCAGAGGGTGGCACCAACTTCTCACACAGGTGGCTCAAATAGTGGGACAACATCTCACTGAAAAGCAGAGTTTCTCTAGGTTACAGGAACACCCCACAGCCCAGAAAATAACTGGAATACATTTTATTCAGAAATACTAATGTCATCCATCCTCAAGTTTCTATGAGTGTAAGATAATAAATGATGGAGAATGGGCACTGGTGGAGGGATGGGTACTGGATCATTGTACAACTGAAACCCAAGCACAAAAATTTGTAGGTCTACAACTGTACCTCATGGTGTTTCACTAATAAAATTTTTTTAAAAAGTGAGCAATAAATTAACAGCAAATAAAAAAAAAAGTTAGATGACTTCCGGGAGCCTGGCAGTCATGCCCAAGAGCTGCCTCTGGTGCCATATAAGTTCATTAACTGGCCATGATCCAGAGACTCAAAAATAAGTCTCGAAAGAGATCAACAAGATGTAGAGATGTCTCCGACCCTAAAGTCGCCATCCAGTTAACAATCCAGCTACATCACCCTATTTGAAATTTTAGAATTCCTGGAGCGCGCAGTGGCACAACATCTCATAGCCTGTACCACCGATGTACCGGAGCAGCACACAGTGGATAGGGTGTAAGGTAGGAGACAACCAATCTCAATTAAAAAAAATATCAGCACACAAGTTTCAATCTATAACAACATATCAGTCATCTCTTATACAAGGGCTCAATGGCTCCAGAGTGAGATACAACAATCTTCACACACTTTCTTCTAAGGAAACCTTTTTTGATAATTTTTAGAGAATTATTTATAACCAACAATTCAAAATAAATTATTTAGGGCCTGCTATTGGGGAAGGCTTGGGATGTGGTTGGGAAAACTCGAAATAATGGTGTTGGTAAGGTGTAATGGTGGTGGGACTGGTATTGGAATATGGAATGTAATAAATTATTGTGACCAACCTTATAAAAATTAAATTAAATTAAAAAAAACCCAAAATCTAGCTGTTTTAAATTTAGATAGTGACAGACCTAGGATTGAAATCCAGGAAATTTATCAAAAAGCTACTGTTCCAAATAGTCTGACAGTTCATATCAGTTATTTTATTTTAGTTTTTGGTTTTGGGCCACACCTGGCAGTGCTCAGAGCTTGCTCTTGGCTCTGCACTCAGGGATTACTCCTAGCAATGTGAAGGGGACCATAGAGGGTGCCAGGGATTGTACCTGTTGTACTGTCTCTCTGATCCCCACATCAGTTATGATATACTACTGAGATTTTCATTGTTTCAAGATTTAAAATATGCCATTATACATGAAGAAATAAAAACATATAAGAAATTAAAAAAAGAAGTTAGGTAAAGTTCTTTTTTTACTAGATTTGGATGGAAAATTAATCACTGCTATTAAACAGGTGGCCCTTATTATCCATTTTATCAGTTCATTAGATTTGTTTTCTGATTTACTTTTAGAATAAAGGGTAAAAGTATATTCTAGAGCTATGAAATAAACCATGAAGATGTGCAAACATGTCATTAAGCCAGTACTATTATTTCTATCATTATCAAAAGACATTCTTTATAACTGGAACTAAACATGCACAATGACAGAGAGAAGTATGTAGATTAATTGCCCTCTAGGAACTTATGAAAATTATGAAACGAGAATGAGAAAACAATAGTGACAGTCATGGTAGCAGGAGCCTCTACAGCAGCACTGGCAATGATGTTGCTGATGATGACAACAGCAGCTACCACTGAACAAATAAAACCTCTTTATACACACTATCTCACTGATCCTTATAATGTGTGTGTATGTACACACACACACACATACACACCTCACATTTTAAATGGTGATAACAGCATTTTTAAACCCAATGAAGGATAAAGTACAGTACCACAGCAAATTCTAAGGGTGAAAGACAAAAGAAAATATAATTAGCCAGGACTTTTACTCATCGTATAAACACTCCTTTGCTCTATAAAGGAGTTAAGGTCATCCTTAACATCATCAGATAGAGTATTTCTAAATAAGTCCTCTTTGATCAATCTGGAAAGGGTCAACAGAGGTAATATCCATTTGAATAGCTTGCTTTTATTGGCTATTATATAACAGCAATAAGGCAGAATGAATGATTAATTGCAATTAAAATAAATCTTAATACATGTCAAATTCATTCCAAAATGACAGGCCACTCTCAAATTCTAAACAAGTAAGTCTGAGCTACTCATTTGGATATCATTAAAGACTGCCTTTATACTATTTCTCCTGAACATCCTGAGCACTATAAAAATTCCTTGTACATAGTAGATATTAACTCATTAATTTAATTGAAGTGGGATTCCTCAAGACATTAAAATTGACAAGTACAATAAAGAGATACAGAAGTTTAAATTACATATAAATTAGAGCAAGATTACATATAATAAACTTGTGATATGATTAACTATTTTTTATTAGTAATCCCATAAAGGTTTTGTACAGAGTAGGATGCTTAATAACTGTTAGCTGAAACAAAAACTACACTGAATTACAGATATTACACATTAAACAATATGTTTATTTTGCATATTCTTAATAACTAGAAATTGGGCGATCAAGACTTGGATATAAAAACTTCAAGCACCGAGAGTTGAACTACACTGTAATGAAACATAAGAAGTCAATAAGTAGTGAAAAGGAACATAGATCTTTTGTAGTAGTGAAGAGGAACAGAGAATTTTGAAGAAAACACATCTAGAGAAAGAACAATGACTTTCTGGGAAAATACTGTATGAAATGACTATACTGGGAAAATCTCCAGGAGACAAACTTGCCTTTGGGAAATAACGGTTATTTGAGAGCAAAAAGGAGGAAATGAATAGAGATTCTACATTACAAAAAGACAGAAATGACCCCTAACAATACAAAAGCTTTGAAAAACTGAATGAGAAAACAAAATCTACTTGGAACTTAATTGCTACTTTGGTTGCCATGTTTTGGTTTGAGATTGTGTGGTAGGAATCTAACCCAGGGAACTCAGACATGCAAGTCGGGCACTGTTTGGAGCCATACCATACCCTGCTTTTAATATTAGCCTTTAAAATTCATAAGTGGCACAGTAAACACAGATCATATGATTCACTTGAAATAGATATTCATGGTCTATGACAATGAAATTTTAATGTTCAGAAGGTTGAATTTCAGATAACTCTAAGTAATAGAATTATACATGGGTAAGTAAACATTCCAGCATACCAAAATCTGTGTGACACAGTTAAATAATGTTTGGAAAGAAAAAAGAGATAGCACTAAATACTTACAGAAGACAGGAAGAAAAGTCTCAAATCAATAATCTAAGTTCCACTCTTGAGAAATTCAGAAAAAGGAGAGATAAATCTAAAGCAACCAGAAGCCGAAAAAGAAATGAATGAAATAAATGAGATCCAAACCAGATGAAGACAGTACAAAAAAAAAAAGAACACTACAAATCAATACTGATACAAAATCTTAAAATATTAGTAAATAGATCTTAGCAATATATAAAATGGTTTACAAACTATGTAGATTATATAAAGAGTTCTTAATTTACCTAAAAGGATTGACAGAAGAAAAATACATCATTAGGCTCAACATCACAAGCAATTAAGGAAGTATTAAGTAGACCACAATGAAATATTACTTCACACAAACTGAAACAAGTAAAATAAATATCTGTGACAATACCAAATGCTGATGAGGATGTGGAGGAATCATCTCTCATACAGAGCTGGGAGCCACGTATTTTTAATGGCATGCCTGTCAGCTACATATGTATTTAGATTTTTAAAATATAAATGAAAATAAGTAAATGTATATACTAAATATGTACCTTCCATATGATCCATCAACCATACTACTTATTTGGGGGAGGGGCTCTCCAGTGGTATTCAGGAATCCCAGGGGCCCCACTGCTAGACCTACTGAGTCAACTGTTCAACACAAGGGCCCTATGTGCTGGGGATTACGTGAGCCACCTGGTGGAGCTGGTGCCTTTTAGGCCTTCACTGAGCAGGGCTCTGATGCCTGGTGATGCTCAGGGGACCACATGGTAGAGACGGTTGTTCTATGTACCTGCTATACCGGTCTCCTGACCTCATTATTTTAATTTCACACAAATCACAAATCATCCTGTTAATCGTCGATTGCCTCGAGCAGGCCCCAGTAACGTCTCCTTCATTCCAATTTGTTGGAATTAAAAACTGGCACTGCAGGGGTTGACTGGGGGAACAGCTGGGGTTGCGGATGAGCTCCCGGACCTTTCCTGGCAGAGGTCCCTTGATTTTCCAGTGGCTACTGTCCCCTCCCTCCTCAAATGGCCTATACAGTTTCCAGTCACTGTCAAAAACAATACTTTAGGGACCACTGAGCAAACTAATTGGCGGCCGGCCAGAGAGAGTGAGGATGCAGAACACCCTGTTTGACTACTTGTGAACTTGTGCACGAATCTCCTCCCGAAAGGTGGTCATCCATTGTTCTCCCTTTTCTCTTAAGGTATAGAAATCTAAGCCTGATTGCAATAAAGTGAGTCTCCCTGCAGAGGCTCCCGGAGCCGTTGGTGGCCTTTGTCTGTCTGGTCTTTGTCTGTCTTATCTTTTCATACCACTCTGAGTACTCATCCTCCCTCTATGGGCTGTCCTCCTTCCCTGGCTGGTGCCAACAGGGTTGGCCAGCTTTCTTGCTATTCCGTGGACCCAATGTGTCAGAACGACAATATGGAAAAATTTACACAGCATCTTTACTTATAAAAGACAAAAAACTGTAAAAAAAATCTACATTCCAAAAGATGAATATTATACATTTATCATGTTATGTCTACATCACAGAATCCTACTCACTCAGCAATCTAACCGCAGAGTATATGCAACAGTCTAAATAGACCTCAACAACATTATGTTGAGTGAAAAAAATCAACAAAAGCTTAAATTCACTTATACATTACTAAACTGGCAAAATTCTAGAAACAGCACAAGGACTAATTATTGGCTCCAAGGCTTACTGATAGTGAGGTCAGAAGATAGTGGCAAGTTTCCAATAGGGAAGTGGAAAGGAAATACTGGTAGTAATGAAATAAGTCTATATTTTATTGTACTGCTGGTTTCACAAATTTACATATGTGACAAAATGGCACAGAACTAAATACATATGGCCAATGTTAATTTATTGCTTTTGTAATATTGATTACAGTTATGTAAGGTATAGGCATGGTAGAAACTGGGTGAAGGATATATGGGAGCTCTCTATGCTATTTTTGCAGACTTCAGATAATTTATAAATGAATCTATTAGCAATTAACATTGCTAGTCTGGTGTTACTCTCTTAACAATTATTTTTAAATAAAAAGTTGAAAATAATCTCTGTGAATATGCACGTGTATATCTAGAAATCAAACATATAAAAAACTTACTTAAAATCTGTTTCATCTAAGCTAGGATGATGAAGAGAATACTTAGTAATCATTACGCAGCATTATCTATGAATATAAAACGTTCATGAACATGACACCTTGTCCTAATCCTAAAATTATCCATTTTCTCCTGTAGTCTGTGCTTTCTCTAAAGACTTATTTTATTCATTTTTATATTCTAAAAACCTAAAACTATTCTTCTTACATAATGGGCATTCAGTAAAAGTCTGTTGAATGAAGTCCTTAAGAGGGACAAGTTAATGATTTGGGTCATAAAACTGAAGCAACATTTTGGCCTTTGATCACAATTTTGTAAGAGACTTTATTTTCAGTTAATTTAACAGTTTATAGTCTTGGCAGTGAAACCATGGGATGGTTTGATCACAATGGTAGAGGAAATGGAAGACTACTTCTCACCCATAAGAATTATACTGAAGGAAAAAATGCCCAGGTGAAACTTCCAAGGCTATCAAATTTTTTTTTATTGAATCACTGTGACATAGAGCATTACAAAATTGTTTATGATTGTGTTTCAGTCATATAATGTTCCAATACCCATCCCTCCAATAGTGTAATTTCCCAGCACCAGTGTCCCCACTTTCCCTTCCATCTCTTCAAGCCACCTCTAACCCCAACCTGCCTTTATGGCAAGCACCTCTCTTCTCTCTTTCTCTCTCTCATTTTAGGCATTATGGTTTGTGTTACACATTTTGAAAGGTTATCGTGTAGGATATCAAATTTTTAAAAATATTAGTAAGATCTGTAAGTGAAAGAAAATGAACTCCAAGAAATGAAAAAATGTAACATAGTCTTACTTATCTTTATAAGATATACATCTAACAAAAATGTGTAAAAGAAATGATAAATTTTTTTCAAGGAGGAAATAGTAGAGATGTATATGTACACACACATATATAATAAAATAGTACTAATTGCTTAAATAAATCAAGTTAACAAACTAAATGAAACTTTATAAAAACTGGCTATGGAAGGGGCCAGAGGGCTAGCCCAGGGGCTAAAGCATATGACTTTCAGCTGCCCCTGGTTTGATCCTTGGTACCACAAGGTTCCCCATGCATCTCTGGGTGTAATCCCAGAGGTCCCCAGGCACAGTCAGTTGTAACCCTGGAGGCTTCTGAGCTCTGTGGTTTGTGCAGAAGCTGACTTCTTGAGCACCACTTTGGAAACACCCCGCCCCTCCCCCCCACCACCCTGCAAGGTGGTTATCGAACAAGTCATGATTCATGATAACAAGAGATTAGTTTTTTGGAAGGGGGTTTGGGCCACACCTGGCAATGTTTGGGGTTTACTTCTGGCCCATCACTCAGGGATCACTCCTGGTAGTGTTTGGGGGAACCATCGGGGGTATTGGGGATTGAACCTGGGTCAGCTGCATGCAAGGCAAAGCCCTACTGGCTGTACTATCTCTTTGACCCCCAGAAGAGATTATTTAAACTTTGAAGGCTCCAGATTTTTTTCGACATTTTACATATAATTGAGAGATATAAATACAGAATGATAGTAGCTAATTGCAGTTCATCACATTTTGTTTCCACATCCTGAAATCCCAAGGTTTACTTTTATTCTCTACAATGACATGAAACATCAAGGGATTTTGTGTAATGGTAATACTAATTAAAATATTGTCTTGGGAATCCCACAAAAATTACACTGAATTGAAAAGAAGTAGATGTTACAAGCTAGTATTTTGGAAAATAAGGTAAATTGTCAGGACTTCCAAAGGCAACGCTGGAATTTATGTGTGACTACAGTTATGATCCTGAGCAAGCCAAGATCCCAAGGAACCTCTGTTGCTACACATCTGTTATAGTAACAAAAACAATCATTTACACTGTGTTCTGCAAGGTGCGGGCATGGCTGAAAGAACAGATAGAACTCACCAATTGTAATCAAGTCGAGACTGATAAAGCTGCTGCTGCTTCAGGAGAAGTTTTGTCTCCTGTTGAGATAACAAATGCTGAAGGCGCTCCTTTTCGATTTCCAGCTCCATTTTCTGAAGCATAAGTTGGTGTCTTCTATCTTCTGAGAGCTGCTTTTTTACATCCTTTTCATGAATCTGCAGTGCCTCTTGGCCACGCATCAGAAATTTCCAGGAAAGACCACAAGAATTACATAAATCCAGATGTGTCTTGGAATACGGAGAAGCAGTATTGGTAGGATGGCTCTCAAGGACATGATCTGTAGTTTCAGAAAATTTATGACCACAGCATTGATTAGAAAGAGTATGCTTAAGGTGTGGGCATTCCCTCATTACCAATTCTTCTGGTGAATCCTTCTCTGTGGGGGTTCCATCTGTTTTTTTCACCCGAGGCCCATAATTACATGTCCTGGTCTCTGATGGCACCCTGTCTAGCTTCTCTTTGGAACAATGAAGGATTGATGGTTTCACAGAACTATTCCTTAACTCCATAAGGGTTTCTGAACATGAGTCCTGGTTTGCAGACTTGGGCCTCTGCTGATTTTGGTAGATCGGTGGTTTGGTAACACTCAAGTAGGAACTATTCAGTTCCATGGATGTAGACTGGAGAGTACTTTTACTACTGGGTACCTAAAAGAAACCAAAAGATCATTTTGTCAAGTAAGAGTATAAATAATTGAGTTGACCCCTTGTCTTTTTAGAAATTAATGATCTGCTTAACAAAATGAAACTTCTGTTTTATCTTATTTAGTAATAAATGATACTTTCCACGTAGCTAAGCAGTTATGTACCACAGAGCAAATTCATTTTCAATATATAATATACATGTCAGGAAATATGTAAGAATGAGTGAAAAGAGTGTTGCTACAGGTTGTTTATGTAAAATTTTAAGAGGTCTGGATGAATATTGGTAGATGGAAGTGGTAACTCCAGTGGTAGGTGTGCTGTTGGGATGATGTATGCATGAAGCTATCATTACAAAGTATTAGAAATCATGGTGCCTTAATAAAAATGGAAAAAATAAAAGGTTTCAAAGGTTTTGTAGACGAGGTTTACATAAAACTAAGTTTGAAAAGAGGCAATAGCATTAAATGCTTTTATCTTAAAACATTTACTTTTGAATGCTGAGCCAAGAAATCCATTCAGTCACCTAAAATATCCTTTGATTGCCCATTACACAGCATGAGATTTGATATAAAACATTTCACCTAATAGTGAATAGGATGTTAGTTACTACTAGAAATTTGATGAGTTTTTATAAAGATCTTTACAGCACACAGATAAAAACAACCATTTTCAACAAAATATGATTCTAATCAAAGGCAGTTATTTAAATACAGAATGTATTTAATTTTAGCTACAAACATAAGTGATTTTTCAATTAAGTGTTCAAGTGGTTATAGTCTGACAGAACTCAGGAAGAAACAGTTGTGAATCACCCTGAACAGCCCAACAGAATGAGCTTTCCCAGCATTTCCGTCTCAAGCCGTTTTTCCTTCAGAGAGCAAATTTATTCTCTATCAGTGATTCTCAAACCTGAGCATGTATCAGACGCATCTGTAGGACTGGTGAAACATAAACTTTTGGGTTTCAACCTCAGAGTTTCCAATCAAGTTAGTCTGGGGCAGAGTCACAGAATCTGCATTTTAGACAAGCTCTTGCTGATGCTGACGCACTCATCTGAATCACATTTTCAGAGCAACTGCTCTTATCATGGAACATCTGACATTCTCCTATGTCTTTTTTTTTTTTCAGGGGTGGGAGGTACACCTAGCAATGCTCAGGGCTTACTCCTGGTTCTGCATGCAGGGATCATACTTGGCGGTGCTCAGGGGACTATAGGGGAGTATCAGGGATAGAACCTGTGTTGGCCAAAAGTCCTACCTGTTATGCTACTGCTCCAGCCCTATCTTGTGTCCTTATAAGAACCATTTTGATTACCATTTGTGTTGGTAAAACTAGGTAATCTCATATCAAGTTCCTTAATGGTATCTGTAGGGTCTCCTGTCATGTCAAGGTCCCTGTGTCATGTAAGTGGCATGCACAGGTTCTAGGAAGTAGGACACAAACATATTTGGAGGTCCCATCAGTCAACCACACATTCTTTTACTCTTCAAAATCCTCATCCACCCCTGAGGAGTTTGAAATCCTTATCTCACCCACCGTTACATTCTTTTAAAGAAATAATTCTTAAATAGTTGTGATGGTTGTCAACTCTAGAAATAGAAAGGATAACTGAAATTCCAAGGAAGTGTGGAAAATTCAAATAATTTACTTTGTAATAGTTGAAAATGATGGACTGGTGAAATGTGTCAGCAGAAATAGACAGAAGTGTCATGTTTACTTCGTGTTGATTAAAGAAAGTTATTACAGTGATCCCTGAGATATGAACCAAGTTTCTAAAGCAATATTAAAGAATTTCCATTTAAGTGATGTCACATCTGGAGACAATACTTGGTCACCTTCAAAGACGATGTGCAATGCGGTGTACTGATGGGGTTCTTCGCAGGTGACACGAAACAAATGATGGGTTATAGAAAAGAAACTGATCCAGAGGCAAAATACTTACATAATGAATAACCTCAAAAATTAATCTTAGAAGAAAACTCTACTCTAGAAGAAAGCTCTAGAAGAAAACACCTAGAAGAAAACTCTACATCAATGTACCCTACTCTGAACTTACATAGCACTTACTGTTAATACAAATATTTGTTAAGGTTTTTACGACAAACTGTCATTTTGTAGAATTAAATGATGCAAAAGTGAAGGTCTAGAAACACACACTGTAATATCTTTTCAGAATATAAACCTAAACCAAATAGAGGCGCGATAGCACAGCGGTAGGGCGTTTGCCTTGCACGCAGCCAACATGGCCGACCCGAGTTTGATTCCTCCACCCCTCTCGGGAGAGCCCAGCAAGCTACCGAGAGTATCTCGCCCACACGGCAGGGCCTGGCAAGCTCCCCGTGATGTATTCGATATGCCAGACACAGTAACAACAAAGTCTCCAATGGAGACGTTACTGGGCCTGCTCGAGCAAAATTTAATTTAAAATACCAAACCAACTCAAATTCAGAAAATTAAATCAAAACTTGTTTTACATGATTTTGAATCAAAGTGTTAATTACTAACATTACAATAGAAAGAATGCATAAATTATTTTACATTCTCATTTTTGTTCCTTGACATTATTTAGTGAAATACGATATGGTAATTAAAAATTTTAATTTTATTATAGTTCAGAAAACATGGTTACAATAAGGTTAACATTTCTGGTACTGGTTGACAAATTTACCTCATCCCACCACCACTATTGTGCTGAAGATCTTGCAATGATGTCCTCTGTTACTTCTAGTACACTTTTTAAGTTTCTGCATCCCACTCCTTACCCATCCCTCTTATTTTGTATTATGAGTTATATAATTCAGAGACAAGGCTTTGTCAACATTCAATACTGTCTATTCCCTTTTCTTTTTTTTTGAAATTTTATTGAATCACCATAAGATAGTTACAAGCTTTCATGTTTGGGTTACAATCACACAATGATCAATCATCCATCTCTCCACCAGTATCCTCACCACCAATATCCCTGGTATACCTCTCCTTTCCCACCCTCCCCCTGCCTTCATGGCGGACAATATTCCCCATACTCTCTCTCAACTTTTGGGCATTATGGTTTGCAATACCTTTTTGTATCTCTACAAACCATAGATAAGTGATATCATCTAGCTTTTGTCCTTCTTCCTCTGACTTACTTTACTTAATTTGATACCTGCCAGTTTCATTCAATCTGCTGCAAACTACGTGGTCAATAGGCATATGAAAAACTGTTCATTGTCACCAGTATTAGGGAAATGCAAATCAAAATGACATTTTATAAAAATGAGAAGAACGTATAACAAGAAGACTGGCTACAGCCAGAACTGGCAGGGATGTATAAAAAAGAAGCCCCCATTCACTGTTGGTGGGAATGCTGTCTGGTTCAGTCTCTATGGAAAATCATATGGAGACTTTTTTTTTTAAACTAAGAATCGAGCTTCTTTTTATTTATTTTTTTCCTTTTTTGGTCACATCCACAGGGGATACTCTTGGCTCTGCACTCAGGAATTACTCCTAGTGGTGCTTGGTGGACCATATGGGATGCTGGAAATCGAATCTGGGTCGGCCGTGTGCAAGGCAAATGCCCTACCCGTTGTGCTATTGCTCCAGCCTCAAAATCGAGCTTCTTATGACCTAGTAATTCCACTTCTTAGCATTTAACCCACAAACATAAAAGCATTAATTTGAAAAGCTACATGCACACCTTCGGCTGCAAACATAAAAGCATTAATTTGAAAAGCTACATGCACACCTTCGGCTGCCATAGCTCTGCTCGGGGCAGGGAGGGAAACTCGACCTGCCCCCTCCAAGGGGCCCTGGCGAGGACAGCCAGGCACCTGGCAGGAGACTCTGCACTGTTCTCTTCTGGGAGCTGGGTTTTGTAGTCTCTGGGTCTTGGCCGTTGATGGGATTACCCGGCGCCAGGGGGTCAGTTGGAGCAGAGCTCCGGCAGCCGAAGACCTCCAGAACCAGCCACAACCATGCTGAGACCACCCTCCACACGCATGAAGGTACCGGCAGAGGAACAAAGGCATGCGGATCCCGGGGCTGAGATCTCTAAGCCTGCTCATATTGGGGCTGAGCATCCTCCACCCAGATCCTCCATATTCCAGTAGGCAGGGGTCACACCCACCAACTTGACCCCCTGGCGCCATGTAATCCCATCAATGGCCAAGACCCAGAGACTACAAAACCCAGCTCCCGGAAGACATCTTATTATCTCATTCTTACTTTGGACAACTTGGCAGGCTATCGAATGTTACCTGCCCACACGGCAGAGTCTGGCAAACTCCTCGTGGTGTACCCAACATGCCAAATACCAGTAATAATGATGGGTCTCATTCTCCTAACCCTGAAAGGGCCTTGTATATTGCACTTTATAATCTCAGGGCTAGGACGAAGGAGACATTACTGATGCCTGCTCGAGGCAATCGACGAACAACAAGATGATCGTGATCGTGACCGTGACATGCACACCTATGTTCATTGCAGAAATGAGCACAATAGGCAAGATTTGGAAACAACCCAAAATGTTCAATGACAGGAATGAATAAAGGAGTTGTAATATACACAACACAATGGAATACTATGTAGCCATACAGATACACTAACTTGAATAGTAGTGAGTGTCAAAGTACTCACAAATATCAGGGGTTTATAGTACTTGTAAATTATTCTTTTGGTAGCTAACTTTTGATGTTTGTAATTTTTTTTAATGATTTTGAGAAGTAGAACAGTTGATTTTGATGCATTCTTTGCTAAAAGAGAACAGTGTCTTGTCAAGAGCTTTTTGGGTGATTCTGACCACTGATAGGTAGAATTATATGATGGTGTTTAAGATTCCCATAACCCTATACTCATCTTTGTTTGATCTCTTTTCTCAAGAGTGGCTTGGACCTGTGAGTATTAAGGCATATCAATCCTGTGACTATAAGGTAAAAGGAATTTTACAGCTGTAACGAACGTTTCTACTCAGCTGAAATTGAGTTAATAAAATGAAAGAATAAGAATACTTTGAGTGGTTCATGCCT